ATTTTTCCAAAAGTTTCCAACAAAAGCATAAGTATCAAATGTAAATCAACACTTTAAGTTTTAATTTAAGTGAATTGTAAAAAAAAATTAAAAATAATACGCGCCTAGGCACACATTAGCGATCAACGATTGTTGTTGACTGCTAAATAAGGCGTCAAGCCACTTGATTTGGCGTTTCCACCGCGCATCGCGTCAAAGCGCCATCTAGGTGTGCCTTTCAGAACACTGAATAGTAGTAATGAATCTGAATTTGAATTTGAATTTGTTTCCTCTGTGTTAGGAACCGTACCATGTTGATTTCGATTTCTGCACGGATGACCACATGGCCGTTGTTTTGAGCCTCATTAGTGGAGGCATAACAGACCATTTTCCAAATTTACACCAGGATCCAAAAATATCAAGAAGAATGAAAAATAAATTGGATAATTGGCGCAAAACGTCCATACCTTCGATTTTTTGGGGCATAACGTCCTTACCTTTCACATTCTTTGCGCTGAACATCGTTTTCACCAATTTTTAACATAAAATGATCAATATACCCTTCTATTTAAATAAAACAAAAGAAAAGAAAAGAAAAATAAAGAATGAATTGTAACTATAGGGCCAAACTTTTTAAAAAGTGCAAATAACCCACCAAACTTCACATTCTTTAAAAAATTATAACTTTACCTAAACCCATGATTGCATGAGGGTCCCCACAATTTAATAAATTGTAGGGGAAGCCCCCGTCCCCAAATTTGACCAGTCTGCGAAGAAACCTGGCAGCTTATGGAGTCGGCTGCTTCTACTCCAAATTCGACCACCATACCGCCGAACAAACCACCGGATTTCCACACCACCAACATATCCTCATCCTACACTAAAAATTGGCCATAACAGATCCATAATCAGATGAAATCCAGGCTCAAAAACACGGCCTCACGCACTGTTTAAACATCAATTCTGGCCAACACTTCAACATCCATGACCAAACTCCATTATAGGCTTCTAATACTACTTAAGGTGAGCAGTTTCATGGTCCCGTATCACCAACAAACAGTTTAATTCAGATTCGATCTCATCCCAATTTGAAGGCAGCGAACCACACAGTTTACACCCCAAATTCCGGCGCCGGCGTTGAGATTCACGGTCGCGCACCACCACCATTATCTTCTACCCATCATGGCGAACAAAATTTACATATGGGCCTTCATGAATTTGTCCCGAATCAACCAATTAGTGAACCGGTGGGATTGTAGAGTGGGATTTCATCTGATTATGGATCTGTTATGACCGATTTTTAGTATGGGATTGTAGAGTGGGATGAGGAGATGTTGGTGGTGTGGAAATCCGGTGGTTTGTCTGGCGGTATGGTGGTCGAATTTAGAGTAGAAGCAGCCGGCTCCATAAGCTACCAAGTTTCTTCGCATGCTGGTCAAATTTGGGGACGGGGGCTTCCCCTGTAATTTATTAAATTGTGGGATCCTCATGCAATTATGAGTTTAGGGTAAAGTTATAATTTTTTAAAGAATATGAAGTTTGGTGGGTTATTTTCAATTTTTAAAAAGTTTGGGCTTATAATTACAATTCATTCTTTATTTTTCTTTTCTTTTGTTTTATTTAAATAGAAGGGTATATTGGTCATTTTATATTAAAAAATGGTGAAAACGATGTTAAGCGCAAAGAATGTGAAAGGTAGGGACGTTATGCTCCAAAAAATCAAAGGTATGGACGTTTTTCGCAAAAATCGTCAAAGGTATGGACGTTTTGCGCCAATTACCCAAATAAATAATAACACAAAGTTTACGTGGAAACTTCAAAATGGAAAAAAATCGCAGGTTTTTAAATATACATATTTTTCACTATTACAGTCATATAGTATGTCTCGCACACCGAACCCTCACTTTTCCTTTTCCTTTTCACTTTCTTTCAAACCGTTCTACCTAGTAAACATAGTTTAAACTTCAACAGATAAATAGAAACAAGAAAGATAAGAGGTGTTAGTATGACCCGAATTCATTGGCCCTATTGCCTTCCTTTTACACATCCATCTTCTTTTTATACCATTTCTTCCTCCTTTATTAGATAAAGCACCGATTTAAGATCCCCCTTTCTCTTACTTCAGGAAATCAGAAAGCATCATCTATTCGCATTAGTTTAATTACCCTACTTCCCATTCAAATAAGGTTTCATTTTCAATTATGTACATATAATTTTATCTAACAGTTTAAACTTTTAAATCAAATGATTTGATATATTTTCTGAACGCACGGGATCTTGAATTTAAGTCTCGCAAGTCGCAACCACCATTTACTAAAATTGTGCATGCGTAAGGCTTTAATGCAAAAAAAAAAAGGAATCTCGCAAAAAAAAAGGGGCTTTTTGAATAAGAATCATGCTACATGTACTGAATTTTTTTACCGAATCTTTAACCTACTACTCACAATAGAGATGAGGACCACATTATCAGAATTTTTAATTACACGCAGGTCCTACACATTATGTGAGAGCGGGTAATCCACTATGTACAAATCATTATGTACAAGTGGATTAACCCTTTGAATAATGTACATGTGGCCTTATTTAAGAAGTTAAGTGGTTAAATCAATTGGTTCAAAGGTGGCTAATTTTGTCACTGTTACGATTTTAATCCTTTGCTGTATGTGCTCATTCTTGTTCTAGAATATGTTCTAGTAATGAGGTCTGGGGTATGCCTCACTCGAATTTTACAGTTTTTTCTATATGTACGTATATGTTCCCTCTTTAAGTTTCATGTACTATAATTTTTCTGTATTATGCAACTTTTGAAAAAAAAAATCATCTTTTTGGGTTCAATTCAAAATCGTCCTAAGATTGAAGTTTGACCTCGAAGAAATGTCGCAAGTTGAAAGAGACACCTTTGTCGGTTTGACCCTAAAGGGTGGATCATCGGAGTTTGTAATTTATTAGTGGGAACAAGGAGTAATATTTTACAAATTTAACTACGGTTTGACAAAACTCTCGAACTAAATCGGATCGAACTAAACCCGAATTGAACGTGTCGTTCGGTTCGATTATTTTTAAGTTAATTATCCGAATGGCGTATTAGAATCAAGAACCAACGGGTTTGATTTGATTCTCGATTCTAGATCAAGAATTAAAGAACCAAATCCCCCTAATTTTTTTAAAAAATTTATATTAAATAAGTCAAATTAATTTAACTTTTTCTAAATATGTTTGCCAAGCCCAAAAATATATATATTTTTTTGTTTCATTTGCCAACTAATTAATTGAGCCCAAAATATTGTTTTCATATTTTCAGCCTAAGTCCAACTTTGTAATTTAAATTTCAAAGAATCAAAACTGAATGACCAAAGTTTTTCTCAATAATTTTGTTGTTTCTCAAATAATCGAAGCTGAGCGGTTGCGACTCTTTATCTTGCCCTTTTTTATGTCGTATTCATTGAATTTCCTCCACTTTGATCAAGGGTAGTTGTGTACATTGGTGTATGAATCTTATTAGACAAGTTGTTATTTATATATTTTTAAATTAGACTACGTTATTTTATAAGAGTTAATGTAGTGTTGTAATAAATGTTAAAAAATTTAATTATGGTACAGAACCGAATCAGTTCGACTTTGTAATAAAAATTTTGACATGATGATTTTGTTTACTAAATACCTAAAAATTCTAGTTCAATTCGATTCTAAAGAGAATCGAACCAGGCCGAACCATATCCATACCTCTACAGAATTGAATACATATAGTCAAATGTTGATTATGAAATCGAATGCATCTACAAATGGGGGGGCTGTTCAAGAATCTAATTCTCCCGCCACAAGCTGGTCTGGTGGCTTCATTTTGAATCTTCCTTCCTTCTTTCTATTGCTATACTTTTGCCTGATTTGACAGCCTCCCCACTAATTGCCTCTACTTTTTCTATAAAGAATGATTTGCAATTTTGTGATTATTACATTAGCTAAAGATTGGACAAATATAAGATACCAACAAATCGGTCAAATACTCAAAAAAAGAAAAGCTAATACGTTTCGGAATACTCTTTTTTCTTTCTCGAATGATGCTCCTTATTAGCACTACTTAGCCCTTGTCTGGCGGCGATTTTAAGCTGCCAAAAAACTGATTTTATTACCGTTGGATGTGCAACGGTCAAATAATCAACAAAGTTGCTAAGAGAGAATAGTCAAATATAACGGCTAGAATTTTGATTTCAAGCGGTCACAGACAAGGCCTTACCCATATTCAATTATATTCCTTCGTAGAAGTATTTACTCGATTGCAAAGGTTTTTGGAGCAAATTTAACAGAAGGATAAATAATCAATTTTAAAAGAATTTAATGTCAATATCTTTCAGATAAGAATCTATCTGATTGACAAGATTTAGGTGGATTTCCTTCAACGATACACCTGCCCTAGCCATCCCCTTCTGCCGCCCGAGCCATCCTAGCCCCTCCTCCTCCCCCTCCCAACTGGGTGGAGACGACTTCGGTTGGGGGTTCAAAATCGTTCATATATAATGTTAATATATCATTATAAAAGAATAATTTACATACAAATGGAAGACATTGAAAGTATAAATACAAAAAGAGTAGTTAAATAGATGTAACTTGTCTATATTAACATATATCATTAATTCTCAATATTAAGTATAACTTTTTTTCTGAAAAATAGAATGGTAAAGAGACCTCGAAAAGATCAGAATGGTCTCTATAAATCTGTTTGAACATTGCCATAAAGGTTATTAGAAATTTAAGCCAAAAAATTGTAGGAGGTCCACAACAAAATATTTTATTCGGGATTTATTTTGAATTATTGTCTCCATTCTCCAATACACGCTTTTATTCATCAGTCCATCAATGTCACGTAGATAATACTCGATAGTAATATTAAATACGAACAAAAAAAGTCACAATATCGTCTAGTAATAAGATTATCCAATGCCGTCTAACAAACGTGCACATTACATCTATTCTCAAGAGTCAATTCGAGAGAGAGTAATCAGCCTCAGCCCAGCCCTCGATCTTCACATAATAGAACAAGCATTGGGATTATCCTCGCTAAAGAAATACGAGATTCGTTCTTCAGTTGCATTAGTAGAAGGAAGTGCCTGTGTAAGATTTTTCACAAATCCAGGAGGTGCCCTTTTATCATAAGCTTGAGATGTATAAGAATAATGAACAACATTGTGAGGGATATATGGCCAAAATTCAGCTCTTTTCCCTGTATTCTTCACTCTCCTTAACACTTTGTTCGGGTCAACATAGCCATTAACTGTTACGCGGCTTTGCTTCCGATTAATTTCCACGGTTTTCACACCTAAATCACCGATCAAAGCGTGAAATTGATGAAATAGATATTTGTAATAAAATCATTTATGTTCTAATATGAATTGTACAACTTTACTATATTCAATCATGCTACAGTGTCATGTAGATTGATAGAAAGGTTGACATAGTGTCACGTGAAATTAAACTATTTAAAACACACTCAATTTTTTAACCAATCATCTGCCGCCACCTGCACTACTGTCACTACATGTGTCAAAATGATTTTGGTAAGGTAACATAATTCATATACGGAAGGGCTTTACGTACGTACATACGGACAAGACATAATGCTTTCATCTTTTTTATTTAATTATTCTAAAAGTGTAGCAAGATTAGATATCCCTTTTGAGAAAGAGGACTCCTATGCTAGCTTTATGCAACTTTTATTTTTAAAATATTCTTCTTGTCTTCCTCGATCTGTGTACGTATACATGCAAGGAATTCAATACTTGGCAAATTTTAGCTTTCATATATAAGCAAGTGTTTGTATATATGTATTTTTGATCTCGTAAGCAACATTGACGAGATAGATCGATTAAAGATAAACTCTCATTTTGTGTTTGTCACCCATTTTGGGAAATAAAATAAATTCTGGAATAGTGATTGATAGAAGAATGTGTGGTTGAAAAGTAATAAAAATTTTAAATTTATGTGTAATATTATTTTATTTGGAAAATGTATTATTGAAATGAAGAAAGAGAAAAAATAAGAATGAGAATGAATGTCAAACAGGGCTGTACGAGGTCTCCCTAATAAATAATTCTATTGATTATCAATTTCTTTAGTCTTGACTTAAATATTTCTTGTTAGCTTGTTATAGATGGGTGGATAGTTTATAATTGGAAGAATGATCACGCCGGTAGGCCTAATTCTATAATATCGGGTTACAATGTGAGGTTTGTCTCCACCTTATTTACTGTATGCATCTCAATTGTAAATGTGGTGCATGCTAATACTCTCCCCCAATGTGAGGGCTGGAGCTATCGATAACTCTCCCTCCACACGAGGCTAGAGAAACAAACCCGACACATTCTACAACCATGCACTATGATATCATAATAAAGTTTATAGCAAAACTCATCGACGTAATATTTAAACTCATGTTCCTCTCCCTTTAAAACAAAACGTTTTAATTCTCATACTCATTTTCAATCACACATTTACATGGTAAAATATGTTGCACGTAAATCCAAAACTTTTCCATACTTTTCAACCACAAATGGGGGTAATGGGATGTTTACCTTCCATGTATTTAACAGCATTCTTCACTCTTCTCTCACATCCATCGCAGTCCATTTTCACTTTAATTTCGACTGTCTGAGAAAGGAAAGAAGAATTAAACTCCCATATACATAAGCGGAAAATTGGAAAAAATGAAAAAAAAAAAAACCAAATTTGACACATGGATATATATATACATATATTACATACACACCTGCATTGATCTCCTTTTGTTTCTAGTGCTTCTAACAGTGCACAAGTTTGCAAGATAGTGAAGAGCACCCATTTTTTCCCCTTCTTTTGACACAAAACAAAGGAGGAGGACCTGATATTTATACAAGGAGTTTGTGGGTCTTGGAAAAGCCCATGCATCTACATTAAAGAAATAAATGCCCTGTGTTGACTATGCCTCAATTCTATTGTTCACTTTTTTCATCGACAGTGAAGTTTTAACGTTATGAGGATATATTATGTACGTAGTTCGCATATGTATTAAGCCGCTTTAATATTTTTTGTTCTGCATATATAAAGGATAGTAAGACGAGCCTCTATTATGATGAGTAGGGAAAAGAAAAGGACACGACACGAGTTTGGAAACTATCGTTGTCCCACCTTAATTGTTCACCTTTGTCATCGATAGCGAAATTTTAATGTTATAAGGGTATATTGTGTAGTTCGTCTATATATTAGGTCAAATTAATATTTTATATTCTCCCTACATAAAGAATATTAAGGCGAACCTCATTTAGGATGAGTACAGCAAAAAAAAAGGATATAAGAAAAGGAAAGGAAAGGAAAAAAAAAGAAGAAGAAAGACACAATCGAGTTCAAAAACTATTTATAAATGTTATCTAGTGATGGCAAAAAAATCTGCCTTGCTTTGGATTTTAAAATTTTGAATTTATATTTTAACTGGAAACATTTGAATAAAAAAGGAGGGGGAGGGGAACGGGGCAGGCCCCCGCCCCGCCCGTCTAAGGCTGGGCGAGGAGGGGGTGCCCCGCCCTGTTGCCATCTCTAAATGTCATCCCACCTTAATTATATTGTTCATCTTTTCCATCAACTACGAAATTTTAATGTTGTAAGAGTATTGTGTAGTTCGCACATGTATTAGATTGTCTTAATATATTATACTTTCTATAAAGAAGATCATAAAGCGAGTCTCTATCATGATGAATAGAGAAAAATATAGAAAGACGCGAGTTTAGAAACTATTTGTTTTCGTCAACTTCTTTCTTACGTAAAAATTTGGAGAGAGCGATAAGTAGAAGTAGTTCTCGAACTGAGAGTTAATCATACCTATATTACAATTTTTAGATTCGTGTTATCTTTAAGTGCTCGATGATACGGGATAGCGTGTTTATTCCAAAACACCTGTTATACTCTTCGAATGTGACCCTAAAATCATTTAGTGGGTTACAACTTACAATTAATCCTTTTAGATTTTCTCAACTATTTATTAAATGAGAAAATGTTGTAAAAGTAGCTTTGTGTTTGCTTTCATTTTCGTTCAATGGGTGTGGCGTTGCTTTTGAATAATTTAGATTATTATGTCACAATAATTGCTACTGTTGCTGGATTCTGTTCTTGGTTAGAACATTACTAGCTTTTTCTTAAACTTTAGTCCATCGGACGAATTTAAGGATTCAATACCCTAATTGTGAATAGCTAATTAAAAGATCCAACATTGCATGCTTGTTCTTGCCCATCAAGAAGAATGTAAAATGATTTAAATCCTTTTTATTTTTAAATAAATTAAGAGTTGTTTCTCGGTGCCGCTGCTGAGGATCAATCGTAGTCTTCAATAAGAGAACCAAGGATCGAAGATTAATGATTAAACCTATTAGGTCATCATTGAAATGCAAGTGTCGCTAATTTTCACCAATCATAGTAACCTTAACGTTTTGAAAAACATACAACCCAAAGAAAAATATTGTAGTATGAAGTGATTGTAGTGATTTGGGGAAAACTCTTCCTATAAAGGGGGCATTTCCCTCCTATAAATAGACAACTTTGAGAGGGAGCACATAAAAATCATGCATTTAGCTCGTACTTACTCAGATCTCGTTTATTTTAATAAATCATTAGTTTTTCTCGTAAATTCTTATTAGTTGATTCAAAAGTATTACGACGGTTTTTACCATCAACAGAAACATTAACTTGTGTAATTTGATCATAATCTAGGGACACACGATTTGGGCCACGAATCGATGGACCTATAATCAGATTAAATAGACACGAATTCTAAATGAAGTGAATTTATAGTTCAAACAAAATCTCCTTAAAAAATCTTCTACTGAACCCAAACTCGAGTTCGTGCTCATGCTGAACGGGGATGGCCGATCGACATGCAACAATTGTGACCCTAGAGTCAAAACTCAAAATTCAAGCCTTATGGTTATTATAAATTCAATCGCAAGTTCTCTTTTCCCAATTAACTTGGGATACGAATCTTTCTTTCATTTCTTTGTCTTTTTTCCTTCTATTTTATCTCTCCCGTCTAATGTGGCATACACCCTCTTTTATTTGCCATTGTTTGTTAAATTTAACACGAATATTTCATGTTTTACCATTAGCATTGGATTCTTGTAACAAGATAGTGAAGATTGAGAATCTTTTCAAGTGAAAATTAACTTTTTGAGAATCAACTTTTTTTTATATATTTTTCCCTAGTTGGTATCTAATATGAGTGCTGATTACGTTTGTTGAGCTTGTAAGTGTCACAATTACTTTTTAAGTAATTTTTTATTTTAGAAATGCTTTTAAAAAATTAAAAAGTGCACTATTTTGAGAGTAATATTGAAGTTACTTTTAAAATAGACAATTTATTTTAGAAAATATGTTGTACCATGATTAAATTATGGTGAACTGGTGATTGTAAATGGGATTTTGATAATTTTTTGTGTCTTCTTGTTCTTCTTTTGTTGATACTGGGTGGACAAAATGTGTCGTCACGTAAGCAATTTCATTCGTAAACTCATAATTTCAACAATTATGCTACATGTACATTTAGTTTGACCCCTTAGTTGACATCTTGTGATGTGACAGGTAATCTGACGATTAATTTGAATAACACTTATTCAAATCAATTACTAGATTTTTTTAAATATTATATAATGTCAACAAAAATGAACAAAATCAATGTACCAGTGGCTTAACTCTGATTTAAATTGATTGGAATGACAGGGAAAAAGGGGCTCATGTAATTTGGGGTTTTAGGTACATTTTTTTAGGGAATCTTTTTTAGAAAATAATAATAAAATTAATTTTGTGGAGCAAACTATCACCGATTGAAATTCAACGATCATTAATAAAAGAATAATGCTACTTACAGTAGCTCACTGCAGCAGTCGTCCTATGTAGCACACAAATGTCAAATGTGTATTTGATGCATTATGCTACTTACAGTCTCTCACTGCAGCAGTTGCCCTATGTGACACACACATGTCAAGTGTGTATTTGATGCATTAAATGTAGTAAAAAACTACCACATTAATGCATCAAATAACTACATGCCATGTGTGTGTCACATAGGGCGACTGCTGCAGTGAGCGATTGCAAGTAGCATTACTCTTAATAAAATCGATAATTGTAAGCATATCATCACAAACAGAAATCTCATCAATGAGCATCAAAAGTAGTGTTGTTTGTAATTCTAACCGTCAATAGAACACATTTATCAACAAATAGACTATCTAACCCATGTCTACGATCATCGACAACAATGTCGTTGACAGAAAAATTATTGATGTCACGCATGCATCTTTCCTTCTTAAAATTTCTAGCTTTTCAAAAAGTTACTAATGACATATTTCGTGTGTATGTAACTTGAGATATATATTTTTTATTTATCTTACTTTATTTAAAAGCTATTTTCTAACATGTTATTTTGTTCTTGAAAAAAAAAATCGTTGTTAGTACTTAACTTTATATTTTATTACTTTAATTATAGACAAGTTTTGCCGGTAAATTATTAAGATAGTTTTTGTTGGATCGATATGGTGTTTGGAGTGACAAACAAACGTCAGTAGAATCTTTATCAAACTTCTGCTGGAATTTCGACAGAGTAACGACAATAAGATTTCAGATGAATAACGCCAAATGGATACAAAATCGAGGCAAGTGTTGAACACTCTGTCCTTAAGTCGAATTTTTCCTGCAACGGTTCATATGATTTATGGCAATAACCTCCCAAGATACAACGACTTCTTGTGTGAATAGCATTTCAACACAGAAGAACAACGAACCAGAATTTGGTTTATGTACTCCTTAATACAAAAATGAAGAAATCTGAATTTTATACAATATATACAAATTTTGGTTGTGAAAGAGGAGAGAATGTTATGCTATAATTGCATATCATTGACGTGAAAAAAATGATGTCCCGAGGGTCCTATTTAGAGAGTATAAGGGGTTGTGGAGGAAGTATTGCGAGCCAAATCTCGCAACCTTACAAATAAAAGCAACTCTTGTTGTCGCTAGCATGTCGTTGACTTCTCGCTCGAGAGACAATGTCACATTTTCATCAGAACTTCTCTCGCTAACCTCTTGCTTGAGCGATAGACGAGCAACAGAGATAGTCATATTTCAACCCATGTATCCTCTTTTCTATCTAAATTTGGATCGTAATTTCTCATTCATCCGAAATTGACTTTGAAATTCCAAATATACTGCGACGATCTACTCGACGAGTAGAACAAGTTGGTCAATTTACATCTGTACTTTGACCATCAAATCAAGTTTGAATATTTGCTCAAAGTTGACACCGAGTCACTTGTTCAAAATTATACTTAACCATATTTTTTATCTCTTTAAACCAATTCCCCACATGAATGGAAATTTCTTGATATGCACAACATAATGCAAGTGAGATGTAGACTCTAACAAATGAGTACATGCGACAAGTTATAGCTTCAAGATAGATGGCTTGTGGTTTTGAACCTTCTTTAGTTGAATACCATTGAATTTACTAAGCTAATCGGTGAACGCGATGTCTTAAACCATTCGGTCATTCGTGTAAATTAAAACAATTGTACCAACACCATAACCCATTTAAACATTTTGGTTCTCATGCTTGTGTTCATTCTGGCCTTGAACAACTCTTGGTTTTATAAATGCTTTAAGATAATTAAGCCTCAAATTCTCGCAGAAGCGGCCCTACTCCACACTTATATAAGTGATCTCCTATAGTATAATACATTTGTTGTCTTCTTGCAAGATATAGGAATCATTAAAAGTATACACTTATTCTTGAACACTTTCTATTCCAACACTTTTTGTAGGAAT